AGACAAGCTGGACCATCTCAATGTTCGAAATGTCTGCAGTTTGTTCATGGACAAAACGGTTGTAACAAACCGTCCGTTTGCTTCAGATGCTCTGAGCAACATGACTCGAAAACGTGCCAGTACATATCGAAAGAGACCAACAAGGTTCCACTCGGAAAACTCAAATGTTTCTTCTGCGGTGAAAAACATACAGCAATTTTCACAGGTTGTAAAACCAGACAAGAAATAATTGAAAAATGGAAATCAAAATCACAGAATGGAAACAACCAAAATCAAAACAAAACAGCAGGCCATTATTCATGTGGACAACGGAGAAACAATCCTCCAACACCGCATCGTCCTGAGAGATCAACGAGAAACGTCCAACATGCACCAAAACCTCAATGGAGAAAGGAGTATATGGAACCATCAACATCTGGTACACAAAAGCCTGTTCATCAAAAACAAGTTCCAGTCAACCACAAACCAAGGAACACAAATCCTCCTCCAAATCACAAACCCTCAAATCAGGGAAATAAAAATAACTTGAACCAACAAAACATTAAAGAAAGAGGAAAACATTGGAAAAAGAATCAAAGAAAAAAACAAAACGAGCGCATTAATAACAATCAACATCAAAAACCAAAGCAAGATGTTGAGCTTATGGACTCAGAAGACATCAGTCCAACAAGTCAGACCTCGAATGAAGTTTTCCCAGAACCTTCATTCAGTGTTGAGGTAGTAAATCGAAACATAACAACTAATCAACAAGCTCAAAGCACCAGCACAAGAGATAAAAACATCTCAGAAATAGAGGAATCAAAGTGCAAGTACCTTATCAGCGAGCTTCTCAAATTAATCGCCAAAAATCCAGAGTTCATCGACGAAATACTCCAAGCAATCAGTTCAAACGCCAAAAACACCGCATTCAATAATGGATTGTAGACAACAAAGTATCAACGTCCTCTACTGGAATGCTAACGGCCTCACTGACAAAATGTTAGCATTCCTCGACTACCTAAAGTGAGTGAACACACAATTAGAAATTTTTATATTTTCCAAATTTCTCCCTTATTTTTTCATTAAACCTTTTAAAGTTACATATTTTTGAAAAGCTTATCAAATTTCCAATATTATGACTGGAAAAGTTTTGGAAAATTTGCAAGTAATATAGTTTTTCATTTTTCTCAGCAACGACTCTATGAAAAGCTTTCAAATTTTGCACACTCATTGCTTATATAAATGTTAATAACTCGTATAAGTTTCAGAATTTTCCATTGAGTTTTTCACGAGTTTTCCTAGCCTGAATTTTTCACTATTAAAATTCATTTTTCTCGATAACTGCGGATTGCTATTAGTTGTCGATCATCTTAGTTTCTTTCATTTTTCAATAGATTTCCATTGATATACAACAGTCTAGGAAAAAGTATGACACAAGAGAGAAATCAATAAAAAAGTGTGAAAAATGTATGAAAAATTTCAAAATTCTCCGCCATCTTGAAATTATTTTGCTTTTTCTGGTTAAACTAATTAAATGTCATAAAAGTGTTTTTCATTTTTGGAAAGGTCTAGCTTAGTGCGTTCATTTACTAGAAACCGCATGAGTCTACGATTAGCACAAGTAAAATTATAGGAGCTTGAAGTTGGTAAGAAAAGACAGCTCAATGTAAAGAAAATATTTTTTTTGTTTCTTTGATATTTAACCTACAAGATAATGTTTTTTGGTTATTTAATAATTTATGCATCTAATAATAACAAAAAGCAGTAAATTAATATTTTTGAAAAATTTTTTTTTTGAAAATTTGAAATTTTTTTTATCTTACCAACTTCAAGCTCCTTGAATGAAAGCACTAAGCTAGACCTTTCCAAAAATGTGTAACACTTTTATGACATTTAATTAGTTTAACCAGAAAAAGCAAAATAAATTCAAGATGGCGGAGAATTTTGAAATTTTTCATACATTTTTCAAACTTTTTAGCGCATTTTTGTCTTGTCTCATACTTTTTCCTAGACTGTTATATATCAATGGAAAGCTATTGAAAAATGAAAGAAACTAAGATGAACAACAACTAATAGCAATCCGCAGTTATCGAGAAAAATGAATTTTAATAGTGAAAAATTCAGGCTAGGAAAACTCGTGAAAAACTCAATGGAAAATTCTGAAACTTATATGAGTTATTAACATTTATATAAGCAATGAGTGTGCAAAATTTGAAAGCTGAAAAATGAAAAACATCAAAAACTTGCATATGGGCAATTCTACGAGTAAAGGGAACTGGAGAAATTTGCATTGTAAGTTTTTCGCTACTTGTAAAATTTAAATTTTTTTTATCCGTTATAATTCTTGCCATAACAATATTGTGTTTCTTCCAATTTTACAATAAAAACTTAAAATAAAGCTAATTTAAACCACAAATTCGGTACTAATTTCTAATTTATTAAATTATACTGAGGATAAGCAGAAATAGAGTAAAAAAATCTTTTTTTAAACAATATTTTTCCAAAATTAATGAATTAATTTTTTTTTAAAGTATGACTTCTAAAAGTAATGCTAGAATGAAGAAGTTCAAGGAAAAACTTGCACTTCCGGGCAACGAGGAGCTTTTAAATCAATTTGTGCAGAGAAAACAAGAGGCAGATCAAAAATATCGAGAAAAGAAAATTGCTGAAAACGGAATTGAGTTCAGGAAGAAGAGAAACGAACAATCTAAGGAATCAAAAGCTAGAAAGGCATTAAAGGATCGTAACCTTAATGATGTTGTTGGATCTAAATATTCATCTAAAAAGGGACTGAGTAAAGCTGTAAAAAGAGTAGAACGTAATCTACCAAAGGAGAGAGAGAAAAAAGTTGAAGTTTTCAAGGTTGTTGCTAAAAATCTGGATCTGAATTTACTGAGCGACAAAACAACAGCAAAAGTCAGCCGGCAGCGACATTACTTTCATGGTGTTCCAGAACTCGTTAAAGAATTCTATTTGCTCGATTCTGTATCCAGACAATTACCAGGCAAAAGAGATGTAATAGCTTTAAACACAAAAAATGGAACAAAAGAGTATTTTCAGAAGAGAGTTCTTCTTACATCTATTGAGGATGTTTATTCTGAGTTCATTTCCCTTTATCCTGAACAAAAAATCTGCATGGCAAAATTTTTCAACCTTCGACCTGGATATGTTATGCTTATGTCCCAAGCTCCTCACAATGTCTGTTGCTGCATCTATTGTGAAAATTTTCTGTATCTTTTTACCGCTATTAAGCCGTTCCTCATTGAAGATCCCGGAAATTCTGATGGTTTTGTTTCAAATTTTTTATGTGGACGTGAATTTGATTGTGCTGTTGGATCTTGTGAAAAATGCCATGATTTTAATACGACTTTATCACAACTGTTATTGCCGTGTTGCATTGATGAACCAGTAAAATGGACTAAATGGGTAAATGTTGATGGCTATCTTCAAAAGTGTAATTTACCTGAAAAAAATGTTAAAGATATTTTGATTGATTTCGCTGCATCTTTTGAAAAGTACAAAATTCATCGGTATTTAATTATTACACAACATCATGTTATTGATCAATTAAAGCGTAGTAACAGTGAGTCTTCTGTTATTCTTCATATGGATTACTCTGAAAATTTTTCTGTCACATCACAGGATGAAATCCAATCTGCTTTTTTCAAGCGAAAGCAAATATCAATTTTTACTGGAGTAGCTTTAGTTGGTACCACTGATACAATTTCTTTTGCAATCGTCAACGATGATATAAAACACCAAAAGGAGCAAGTCTATCATTATATCAAGTTAATCGTTAGACATCTGCGCAGCATGTATCCAAATTTAGATTCAATTAATTTCATTACAGATGGATGTGCTGCACAGTTCAAAAACAAATACATACTTTCCAGCTTAGTACATATGGAGGCAGAATTAGGATTAAAGCCTAAATGGCACTTTATGCCCACATCGCATGGCAAGAGTGCAGCCGATGGAATCGGAGGAATCCTAAAACGGCAAGTTTCTCATCGAATTCTTTCAGGAATGTTCGAAATTCATAATGCTAAGGATTTTGTTGCCTGTGCGGACACATTTGTAAAGAACATTAATGTCATTTATGCTAGCTTAGATGAAATGAAAGATTTGAGCGACACTTTGAAGAAAAGATGGGAAAAAATTAAGATGATGCCTTCAACTACGAAGTTACATTATTTTCAACCTGTTGGAACTAAAATACTTGGTGCTGTGTCATCAAAAATTGAAGGTGCTAAGCTTTTTACTGTCACATGAATTAAAAATTAAGCAAAGAATTTAATAAAAACGCAATCAGCTGCAATTGATAAAAGTAGACTAAATTTTTGACGTTATCTGTTCTTAAATTGTAGGTTTTAAGGTAAAAGAAGTCATGAGAAACTTATAATTAAAATAAGTTTTTCCATATGTAAAGAATATTGCAGAAAGAAATTTCAACGGTATTTTTAAATTTAAATTTTTGTAAGCGCTTTCAGTTTAGTCAAAATATGTAAAATTTCCACCGATTGACACAGTTTTTGACAGTTTTTAGCTTAATTAGAGGAGGCTGTATGAGGAGATATTTTAATTTTTTTACCGTCAATCGGTGGAATTTACAAAAATAATGTATTTTAATTTGTTAAATATTTCACTAAATACTCATTTCTGCTTCATGTATTTACCCAAAACATGTTTGAATTCACAAATTGAACAAGCATTTAACTTAATACAAAGCAGAAATGCTCTAATTAAGCTAAAAACTGTCAAAAACTGTGTCAATCGGTGGAAATTTTACATATTTTGACTAAACTGAAAGCGCTTACAAAAATTTAAATTTAAAAATACCGTTGAAATTTCTTTCTGCAATATTCTTTACATATGGAAAAACTTATTTTAATTATAAGTTTCTCATGACTTCTTTTACCTTAAAACCTACAATTTAAGAACAGATAACGTCAAAAATTTAGTCTACTTTTATCAATTGCAGCTGATTGCGTTTTTATTAAATTCTTTGCTTAATTTTTAATTCATGTGACAGTAAAAAGCTTAGCACCTTCAATTTTTGATGACACAGCACCAAGTATTTTAGTTCCAACAGGTTGAAAATAATGTAACTTCGTAGTTGAAGGCATCATCTTAATTTTTTCCCATCTTTTCTTCAAAGTGTCGCTCAAATCTTTCATTTCATCTAAGCTAGCATAAATGACATTAATGTTCTTTACAAATGTGTCCGCACAGGCAACAAAATCCTTAGCATTATGAATTTCGAACATTCCTGAAAGAATTCGATGAGAAACTTGCCGTTTTAGGATTCCTCCGATTCCATCGGCTGCACTCTTGCCATGCGATGTGGGCATAAAGTGCCATTTAGGCTTTAATCCTAATTCTGCCTCCATATGTACTAAGCTGGAAAGTATGTATTTGTTTTTGAACTGTGCAGCACATCCATCTGTAATGAAATTAATTGAATCTAAATTTGGATACATGCTGCGCAGATGTCTAACGATTAACTTGATATAATGATAGACTTGCTCCTTTTGGTGTTTTATATCATCGTTGACGATTGCAAAAGAAATTGTATCAGTGGTACCAACTAAAGCTACTCCAGTAAAAATTGATATTTGCTTTCGCTTGAAAAAAGCAGATTGGATTTCATCCTGTGATGTGACAGAAAAATTTTCAGAGTAATCCATATGAAGAATAACAGAAGACTCACTGTTACTACGCTTTAATTGATCAATAACATGATGTTGTGTAATAATTAAATACCGATGAATTTTGTACTTTTCAAAAGATGCAGCGAAATCAATCAAAATATCTTTAACATTTTTTTCAGGTAAATTACACTTTTGAAGATAGCCATCAACATTTACCCATTTAGTCCATTTTACTGGTTCATCAATGCAACACGGCAATAACAGTTGTGATAAAGTCGTATTAAAATCATGGCATTTTTCACAAGATCCAACAGCACAATCAAATTCACGTCCACATAAAAAATTTGAAACAAAACCATCAGAATTTCCGGGATCTTCAATGAGGAACGGCTTAATAGCGGTAAAAAGATACAGAAAATTTTCACAATAGATGCAGCAACAGACATTGTGAGGAGCTTGGGACATAAGCATAACATATCCAGGTCGAAGGTTGAAAAATTTTGCCATGCAGATTTTTTGTTCAGGATAAAGGGAAATGAACTCAGAATAAACATCCTCAATAGATGTAAGAAGAACTCTCTTCTGAAAATACTCTTTTGTTCCATTTTTTGTGTTTAAAGCTATTACATCTCTTTTGCCTGGTAATTGTCTGGATACAGAATCGAGCAAATAGAATTCTTTAACGAGTTCTGGAACACCATGAAAGTAATGTCGCTGCCGGCTGACTTTTGCTGTTGTTTTGTCGCTCAGTAAATTCAGATCCAGATTTTTAGCAACAACCTTGAAAACTTCAACTTTTTTCTCTCTCTCCTTTGGTAGATTACGTTCTACTCTTTTTACAGCTTTACTCAGTCCCTTTTTAGATGAATATTTAGATCCAACAACATCATTAAGGTTACGATCCTTTAATGCCTTTCTAGCTTTTGATTCCTTAGATTGTTCGTTTCTCTTCTTCCTGAACTCAATTCCGTTTTCAGCAATTTTCTTTTCTCGATATTTTTGATCTGCCTCTTGTTTTCTCTGCACAAATTGATTTAAAAGCTCCTCGTTGCCCGGAAGTGCAAGTTTTTCCTTGAACTTCTTCATTCTAGCATTACTTTTAGAAGTCATACTTTAAAAAAAAATTAATTCATTAATTTTGGAAAAATATTGTTTAAAAAAAGATTTTTTTACTCTATTTCTGCTTATCCTCAGTATAATTTAATAAATTAGAAATTAGTACCGAATTTGTGGTTTAAATTAGCTTTATTTTAAGTTTTTATTGTAAAATTGGAAGAAACACAATATTGTTATGGCAAGAATTATAACGGATAAAAAAAATTTAAATTTTACAAGTAGCGAAAAACTTACAATGCAAATTTCTCCAGTTCCCTTTACTCGTAGAATTGCCCATATATAAAATGCGTTTTTTACATAAAGTGACTATATTAAATGCAAATTTTCCAAAACTTTTCCAGTCATAATATTGGAAATTTGATAAGCTTTTCAAAAATATGTAACTTTAAAAGGTTTAATGAAAAAATAAGGAAGAAATTTGGAAAATATAAAAATTTCTAATTGTGTGTCCACTCACTTTAAGCAAGCATAACGTCGATGTTGCTTGCATCTCAGAAACATTCCAAAACCCAAACTCAAAATTTGACTCGCATCCAGACTACGTAATTCATCGATTGGATCGCGTGGATAGACCAAAGGGTGGTGTTGCAATCATCGTCAAAAGAAATCTAAAACATCAGCTTCAACCAAGCTAAAACACAAAACTAATGGAATGCATTGGAATCAAAGTCTTCATCAATGACACGGATAGTTGTCACATCCTCTCAGTCTATCTCCCAGGAGGAAGCAAAGGAGGGGAAATAATCCAACATCTGAGAGATGACATCAACAGAATAACAAATCTGAGAGAAAATTACTGCATCTGTGGAGACTTCAATGCAAAACATCGAGAATGGAACTGCAACGTTGCAAATAAATCAGGAAATATTCTTCAGGAAATGTCAAGAGAGTTCATGATCTATTTTCCTGACTCGCCAACGTACTACCCAGAAGATCGAAACAAATCAGTGTCAACAATTGACCTGATGCTCTCGAATTCCAACCTCGAAACAACAGAACTTCAATGCACAGAGGCAATGAGTGATCACTGCGCTGTGTATTTCCAAATCAAAACATCAAAAATCGATAGAACTGAAAATACAGTCTACAGATATGACTACAAAAACGCAAACTGGAAAAAGTTCAAAGCACAAATTTCACGCCGCATCCAAGACAACATTGGAGAAAATACTTGCAATACAGCAGATGAGATCGAGAATCACATTAAGATTCTCTCTGAACTCATCATGGAAGCGAGGAACTCAAGTGTAAAAATGAAAAAGATCAACTTCGAAGCAACTAAACTCACACCGGAGATTAAAGATCTAATCAATACAAAAAGGAGTCTTCGTCGAAGATGGCACAGAAGCAGAGATAATCAACTCAAATCTGAATTGAATTATCTACAGAGAGTCATCAATGAGAAAATTAAAGAACTCAAAAACAAAAACTGGAAAAAGCGTCTCTCAGAGATTCAACCGTCAAACCAAACAGTTTGGCGAATAGCGAAATTTTGCAAAAAAGGTTCAAAAACAATGCTTCCATTGACAAATCTGGGTAAAACGTTCATCACCAACAAAGAAAAAGCCAGCGCACTCAGTGAGTATTTTCGTGAAACTCACGAAAATCCTCTGGAACAAAACGACCCACAACACACAGAAAGTAAACAACACAGTCAAAGAAGCATTGGAACAAGACAATGATGAGAATCCAGAACTAACAGATGTAAACGAAATCGTAAGCATCTTAAAAATCTGAAAAATCCAAAAGCTCCGGGACTAGATGAAGTCAACAACATAATCATCAAAAATCTTCCTGAAAAAGGTTTCGAATACTTGAAATTCATCATCAATTCGTGTCTGAAACTCAACCACTTCCCCAAAGTTTGGAAACATGCAAAAGTGATTCCTATTCCAAAACCTGGAAAACCAGCAAATGAGCTAAGCAGCTAAAGGCCAATAAGTCTACTCAGCTCAATAAGCAAAATACTGGAGAGAGTATTACTGAACAGAATCAACGATCATCTTGAGGATAACAACATCATCCCAAGCCAGCAGTGCGGCTTCCGGACCGGAAGATCAACATCTCACCAGCTCATCAAAGTGATCAAATCAGCAAAAGAAAACTTAAACAACAAAAAGTCAACAGGCATGATCTTCCTGGATGTAGAAAAAGCATTTGACAGAGTCTGGCATAACGGACTCTTGTACAAAATGCTCAAACTGAGATTTCCACTGCCACTTATAAAAACTGTAAGTTCTTTCCTCAGTGAAAGATCTTTCGCAGTTTTTATTAAAGGTCAGTTCTCAGAAATCAAGGTAATCAAATTCGGAGTGCCACAAGGAGCAGTGCTTTCACCAACTCTCTACAACATCTTCACGTATGATGTTGTAAGAGAGACAACCAACAACATCGGTCTTTTCGCAGATGATACAGCACTGTATCATTCTGCAGAGAACTCGGCTGATATTGTGACACATCTAGAGTACACAGGAAGAAAAATTCAACAATACATGAACAAATGCAAGATCAACCTCAACAAACAGAAGACTCAAGCCTTATTCATCACAAACAGGCACTCTAGGCAACTTCCAGGAAATAACATCAAATTTCTCAACGAAAAAAATCAAATGGGAAACAGAAGCTAAATATCTGGGAATGGTGATCGACAAGAGAGTAACATTAAAGCCGCATGTGGGAGATATGACCAAAAGGGTTCACCCCGCATTAAAACAACTTTATTCGCTCATCAGCAGGAGCTCACATCTTGACGTACAAAACAAATGTTTCATCTAGAAGCTAAGTATCAGACCAATATTCACATACGGTTGTTAAAATTTAGACAACAGTCGTCTTACATCGCAAAATCCTGAATAAATCAAACTAAACAACAAGTAGAGCAAGAAACACAAATTAAAAAGTTTAATTTAAAAAAAAAAGAAGTTTATTGAAATTTTATTCTTTATTGAAAAATATAACACTATCGTTTTATTTTATTTTTCTTTATTTGAAGCCATAGTATTGAAATTTGTCAATATGACATATGTGCAATAACCGTTCTTGGCTAGCTCATTCCAATACTTTTTAGAACAATTTTCTTCAGAGCATTCAGATCTTTACCGCAATTTCCAAACCAAGATTTTACACTATCACATGCTTTGTGAGTAAATTCATCACCAGATACTTTCCAAGTTTGAGCAGGACAGTTCTAAGTGACGTAATTTACAGAACATGTAATAATTTAATCATTAATTAATGCTAATATAGGTACTTACAACAAAAGAGTCGAGATGGAGGCACATGAGCATGACCAAATATTGCGTATCACAAATTTCTTTTTTAATATTAAAAGGATGATTTGAAAACAGTTCCGTAATTTTGGTAATGTCAGATAGGAATCTTTGTTGGCATTGGTCAAAGCCATTCTTCAAGGGCTGTTTCCAAAAATTCACTTCATTAGGAATTTTAGAATCAATCATTTTCATGTATAAATCTCGATCTATTTTGTTATCTTTAGTAAGTTTCATTTCTTTAAAAACTAGCTGAGCAACTGTCTGTGATATAATTTAAATTAAATTTTGAGTTCCAACTTATTTAAATGAATTTTAATGGTTAACTTACACACGCCATTTCGAAGCTATTTATTCCACTTGATGCCTTTTCTTTGATCATAGCTTGAACTTTATTTTCTATTTCTGGATCCGTGATATTTGCGAAAGAACAGCACTGCTAAACAAATTCAAAAAATTGTAATTTTAAACTTTTAAAAAGATTTTATAAATTAAATATTAAAAACCTGCAAATTCATATTTATTTCTCGTGGAAATTGTTCACAATCATTTGCTTTAACTTTATGCTAAAATAACAATTATTAAGAAATTAAATCAACATTAATAAATAGTAATCTTTCAAATTAATTGTTCATTACATTTATTAATGATATTAGGAAGAGAATAAAATTTATCCACAGTGTCATTTTTATTTGTTTAAGATCAGACACTCTTCAATGAATTTTTAATCTCAAACTGATTTAAAATAAACAAATTCAGTGATTTTAATAGAGAATTTTAGGGGTAATTAAAAAAGACATTACAGTCAGTTTATAGTTATGTTATCAATATTTGATCTTGAATATAGCAAACAGAGCTATTTCCACTTATTTGTTTTATTTTTATTTTTTTTTAAATTTACACTTTAATCAATCTTGAACTTGGTTATTTTTTGACCTAGACTTTTAAATTTCGACAAAAAATCAAGCATGAAAATAATGATCGATAATAAATAACAGGATGTAAATTCTTCATTATTATAACGGTCATTTTTCATCTATTATTCAGTCGAATTATTCGACTATTTCGACAGTCAGTTAGCTTTACCCTTTTTCTTTCACTTTTTATCAATCTAGCCAAGCGATATCACGCATTTATCGCGCCACGAAAAAGTGAGGATTAATCTTATCATATTCATTTCTTTTTGATTCATTGATATCCATTTGTTATAGCTATCTGATCCGATCATAAAGGATACTTGTATTCACATTAGGTTTATAAAAGCATAAGTAAATAAACAGAGAATTTGTGAAATATATTTATTGTTTTGGGATTTAGATCACGATTTACATCGTGGCTAGCTGGTGAAAAGACAACAGGACTTATCATAAAGTGTGCTTTTACAATTTCTACAACTGATCTAAATGCTCTGCAACATTAACAGACTTTAGTAAACAATCATCAAATAAAAAAGTTTATCTTTAAAGCATGACATAGATAATTTTCTACTATTGGGACTCTTTTAATGCATCATAATACAAAATAGAAGAATTTTATAAAGACTGAAATTCCAGAAAAAGTTTAAGTCTAGATAAACAGCACATATACTTTTATATGGAATATGATAATGCTTGCAATTTTTAGTGTCTTAAGAAAAATTAAAACTCAGATTCTTAATGTCAAGAACCTATAAGAACAACATCACAGTTTAAAGTGTGAGGATATGTGATAAGCAAAGCCTGTTTAAATAATTGAATAATACCCAGTAGCATTATTAATTCCAAAAAATTGGATATATGTACTTTAAAAAAGAATTTATATAAATTTCGGTTTCTTATCACGACTTCCTTACATTGACGTAATATAATAATTGTTTTATAACTTAAGATATTGTTCTTTTTTCATATATTAATATTTTACTAAATATAGCTGTGATGAATACTTGTTGCTGAAAATTAATTTCGTATTATATTAAAACTTTTCCAGGGGGAAATTTACTCAGCCTAAAATTTTTTTTGAGTAAAAAATTATTAAAACAAAAGCGTAAAAAAAGAGTAAAAAGTGTAAAAAAAGAGTAAAATGTGTAAAAAAAAGAGTAAAATGTGTAAAAAAAGAGTAAAATGTGTAAAAAAAGAGTAAAAAGCGTAAAAAAAGCGTAAAAAAAGAGTAAAAAGTGCACTTTTTACTCTTTTTTTACGCTTTTTACTCTTTTTTTTACACTTTTTACTCTTTTTTTACACATTTTACTCTTTTTTTTACACATTTTACTCTTTTTTTACACTTTTTACTCTTTTTTTACGCTTTTGTTTTAATAATTTTTTACTCAAAAAAAATTTTAGGCTGAGTAAATTTCCCCCTGAACTTTTCATTTAAAAACATTAATTTTCATATTATAGAATCCTTTTATTGTTATACTGGATAAACTTTAATCGTGAAAATACATAAAATTAAATTGAAATACTCCTGCAAATTCTGAATTAAATCCAATCCATTAGTGAATTTTGCTTTTAAAATTATTTCACGTATCAGACATTTTCTTTATCGTCCTCTTGTAACAGTAGTAGCTGTTGCAACATTAGGAGTATGGAGTGATAAGACTGGACATGTATCATAATATCTACGTAATGCAATGCAATCTTTTGATGTCGGATTAACTAATGCGACTTGTGGGCATTTTCTTATTTGATAGAAATAAACACACGATGCAAAATATTCTGGTACGGCTGAACAATATTTGACGTTGTCAATATTTCTATTTCCCATACTTCTGTTTAAATTATTTAAGTTATTATTGGTTTGAGTGTTGCAAAAATCAATGGCTGAATTAATTATTGGAAGCCAAGTTTGGTCGTTATTCATTGCCTTGGCTACATATGATTTTAGTGTCTGGGCATTTATAACATTATTATTGAATGCTTTTGTTCCATTTAACAAACATGTGAAAAAACACTGCAAGAAAGATTTAAAAAAATAAAATCAAAAATTGTTGACGGAAATTCCTTACTTCCAATCCATCAAATGATCCTTTGATTCCTATATTTACATTCGATATCACACTTTGATATCTTTGAACACAACTAGCTTCCGTGTTTTGGTCATAAATATGCTTCAATTTGCAGCATTGACTTGGGACAAGTGATGATAAATTTCCTGGATGACCTAAGTCACATGGACCACCTTCAGTTTCTTTTAAAAACTATCGAGATAAACGAAAATTACATTAGTGTAAGCTATAAACTCAATGATTTTAACTTACATAAAGAAAGCAATAAAGGAAGACGACGAAAAATTTCAGATTCATTCTTATTTAATTTTGTTTTTCTTAAAGCTTTTAAATAAATCAGGAGAACACTTTAGCTACCGAAAAACTGTTGGGATATGGAGCAAAAGCTTTCAATTTATAGGAAAAATAAATTCTCATTAGTGCTGATAGAATTAAATGGCAGTTTGTTAAATTTATTATGCTAATTTAATTTCAATTTGATTTGATTTTAATTTTCATTTCAAAAATGAATTGTAAATGCGACGAGTTAAATTTAATGGCTTATTAATTGAGGATTTTTAGAAACATTTAATTTAATTAAAGTCATGTTTGAATGCTTTAACTATCATAATAAACCATTTCTCATATGTTAATGATTATTTGTAACTTTAGTAACTTTAAGCGTATTAGAAAAAATATCTTACAAATTACAATTTAATGTTTCGAAACATCATAAAATATTCTTGATTGTTGAAATTACAAATTTTTCTCCAACAACCTATCCTTGAATCAACACAAACTTTTTACAAGTACCCTAAATTGCTTTAAAATGTTCATGACATTAATGTCACAAAAAATTTTTAAACGAATTGATTACAAAGAAATATTCATGATTCCGTCCAGTAAATTGTGATTTAATGCAACATTTTCTCCATGCAATAAAAATTTACGATCCAAGAATCAGTCACAAAATAAAATTAATGATTCAAAAATATCGACCATTTAGGAGAAGAAATAACTCCTTAACAATTTCTGTGTAATAAAAAACGAAAGTAAACTCTTCTTTATTGTTTGTTCGAGATTTGAGAACTTTATTACACAAGAGACAGTGTTGTTCAGGTGCGTCAATTTTGCTTTTGATAGGAATAAGAAAACAACAAGTGTGATTGAAAAAAAAAATAACAAATTCAAGGAAAAGATTCAATTCAATAATGTAAAGTAAAGAATAAAAGCGCATTCCCAGTGGATGAAAAAAAAATCACTTTATAGCACTTAATGTGAAAGAAATGTGAAATTAAAGGAAAAAATTCTATCAAGCAGACAATCGAATTCAGTATTTCCGCATATTTTATTTGATAAAAAGCAATGGAATGAAATAAAATAAAACAAAATAAAATAAATTTATTGTCGCATGTGCACAAATAAGTTGAAAATATCTTGAAGCTATCAATGAACGAAAAATAAGCAAATGAAGGAGAAAGAAAAATACAATTTTTTTTATGCTCTCTACAAATATTTAAAATGAAATACTCAATAAAGCTCATTTCGTATAATTGAGAGGGAATTGAGAAATGTCATATTTTTATTCTAATTGAATGTGATAGCAGTTTTGAATAATTTGAGCATTGATGTTTATCATGAAACAATGTGCGGGTGTGTCTAGTTCATAATATCTAGGATGATAAGCTTTCCATGAACATTTTCTTAAATATAAGTTCTCACAAATCAATCAAAAATCTGATCGGCATTCATATGTCAATTTCCAAGTTAATTCCAAGTTTAATTTACTTTAGTAAATTAGAAGTTAAGAGAAGTTAAAGAGAGGAGAATGAAATACATAAATAAAGCATATTGTTTATGAGCATCTTACTCTTTCTTTCTTCACAGCAAAAAATGTAAAAATTGATGATGATGATGATGAATTCTCATGAATTTAATTTTCATTTCATTACTTAGTGTATTGAGTACTGTCATCGAGTAAACATTCGGGCTTTATTTTGTTTATTGGTGTTCGCGCTGTCATACCTTTGTTGTGTATTTATAATGCTCAAAAAAAATATATGAAGGTCAATGGACGGCTAAAATAAATAAATTTATACTTAACAAATAGTTATATAAGTATGAGCAAACAAAGGTCAAATAAAAATATTTGGTGATATGCTGGTTAAATCCATATTTTTCTAGTAAAAATATTGCAACAGCAAACTTATCGAAACCGTTTGAATTGATTTGTCATCATATATTAGTTCCGTTAATAAAAAAACTTGACGTAGTTAAGCAATAAATAATAAGGTTTAATACGATAAAATTTTCGGAAGTGTGATTTATTTACAATTTAAACTTAATCTTTTTTTTGTTATCATTTAATATTGATACGCAATACAAAGTATGAACTTTTTACAGTAGTTCTAGACTGTAATTATTTTTCCGGTTTTGTTTGACATGAAATTTCTCTGCTATCACAAATGTTAATATATTCACGCGAGTTGTAATCTGACAGTTCTATTGACCTTAATTTTGAAATAAAAATCATATCAGCTGATATTCACAATATAACTTTACAGTAGATCATACATAAAACACGATTTGATAAGTGATATAAATTAATACTTAAGACACTTTTACCCTCGTCGAAACGATTTTTGCGATAACGATAAGATTTCAAGAGCGAAAAAATGCCACGGTTTAGTTTCAAAGTGTTTAGTTTTGTTTCAATTGTCATCGCGTGTGTAAGTCTTTCATCTTCAAAAATATTAAGAATGGATTCAAAGCCAAAGCGACCATCACTAGAGAAATATAATGAGATGAGGGAGGAATATTTGAATACGCATTTATCTAGAGCATTAGGTTCTGATGTTCTCTTAAATGAAGAAGAGCAACAGTTTAATACGATATTAATGGACTTAAAAGCTGAAGAGCTGGCACGTGGATTTGAAAATCCATTTAACTTTACGCCTGCACGACATTTTTTTGACACCATGAAATCCGTCGAATCATCTCAACTTTTTAAAATCATACAAAAAATGCCAAAAGGTGCAAAGTAACTTGAAATCTTTATTCCCATTGCGACCTTTTTAAAATGAAAAGATTCTTCATTCTCCAATCTTTTTTGCCTTTATCATTTAGGTGCCGTTTTACATGCTCATGATACTGCAATGTGTAAGTTAAAACCAATTCAATCGATACATAAATGAAAAAGAATCTTCTCAAACTGATACCATAATCCTTTACGAAACCCTCTTTAGGCTCAACCGACTATGTCGTGTCATTGACAAAATGGGACCATCTATGGCAATGGGGTGAAATTGAGGGCAATGATTTGCCAAAATTTTTGTTTAGTCGACAAAAGCCTGAAATATTAAACAATGTTGAATGGAGGCCTGTAAAAGATGTAAGAAAAGAAATGGGTGATGATGTGTATGATAGCAAAATACGGCATTTCTTTACATTGATCGTTGACAATCCTATTACATATTACAACAATATTAACGTCATTTGGTCAAAATTTGAAGACTTATTTTCTGTGTTCGGTCCCATAGTATTCTTTATTGATGCTTGGAAAGATTATTATCGCCAATCGCTTCAAGAAATGTATGATGACGGTGTAAATTATTTAGAGTTTCGTGGAGTTTTACCCGAGGTAAGATACAATTTATTAAATGATAAGGATAAAATGCTTAAGACAATTATTTTTTATATTTATCTTTGAAGTTATACGATTTAGACGGGAATACTTACGGACCAATTGAAACATGTCGCGCTTACGTGGATGTCTTAAAAGAATTTAAAGCAAGTCATCCGGACTTTGGATGTAGATTCATTTATGCCCCAAGAAAGACAGTTACAGATGAAGAATTTGACACTTACATTCCTACCTTGTTAAAACTTGTAAAGACTTTTCCCGAGTTCATTGCTGGATTTGATTTAGTTGGACAAGAGGATAAATGTAAGATAGAAAAAATACCTCGTTCATTATCCATTTCAATCTTATTTCCAATTTATTTTATTCTCTAAAGCAAAACCTTTGGCTTATTATGCTGAGAAACTTCTTCAAGTTCCTGAAGACATACAATTTTTCTTCCATGCTGGTGAAACAAATTGGATGGGAACATCTTCAGATGAGAATTTAGTAAGTGAATAGAAAATTTATTTTTCTTTTGAACTTTTCATTTAACTTTGATTATTTTTTTTTAGATTGACGCTGTCTTATTAGGATCAAAGAGAATCGGTCATGGATATGCAGCTGTTAAATACCCGCATTTATTAAAAATAATTAAGGAGAAAAGAATTGGAATTGAAATTAATCCAATATCCAATCAAGTTCTTAAACTAGTCGATGACTTGAGGAATCATCCCGCAGCAATTTTCTTCTCTGATGATTATCCAATCGTTATATCAAGGTTTTGTTGATTTTATTAAAGTTAATTTTATATTTCCAAAACATTTTTTTCCTTCTGTTCTTTTTTTTTTGTTCTTAATCTTTTGTATTATTATTATAGTGATGATCCATCATTCTGGGGAGCACTGCCATTAACGCACGATTTCTATTTTGCTTTTCTTGGAATCGCATCAGCACGACAAGATTTGAGAACAATTAAAAAATTAATTTTAAATTCATTTGAATTCAGTACATTAGATGAAACTCAAAAAGCCTTTGCAAAACAAGTCTGGTTGAAAAAATGGAATAGATTCATTAAGGAAGCCCTTAAAGACCACAAATCAGCAATTTTAATGCAACAATGAAATGTAAAATTTGAAATTTTCTTGCTAAAATTCAATGAAACCAAAGATAATAAATTGTCTTAAAACCTTAAATATTTAAGTATGTAAGTCTTTATCTTAATTTTATTTTTTTTGGTTCAGGGTGGTCTTGGGGCACGCTTAAAATTTTATAGAATAAGATTTTTAAATAATTTGCACCCGGTACGCACCTGGTATGTCCACACAGTTTTAACTTAAATTCGAAATGAAAATTACATAATTCCACATTCCAATGAGTCACGGAGTATGAAACTTAATATTTTAAAAAATACAGTCATGGCTTATTTTAAAAATCTCGTTTTATTGTTGATTCACATCGAATTTTTTCTTTAAAAATTTTGATATAAAAATTGAGTATTTTTCAATAATAAATAAAAACTTTCTTATCTCATGTGCACATTGTTGATTGCTGGAAGCTTATCTACTTTAATGATACAAAAGTTATATAAAAGAAAACATGAAGATAAGATACTGCCGAAAATTTTAAAAATAAATGAAAAAAAATCTACAAATATTTTTGTCAAAATTTTGAGTAAAAGGAAAGTTTAAATTTTCTCTTTCAATTATTTATTTTCTATCTAGGCACGGTAATTAATGAAATGTCTTTTTGCTTCAAGTTAGTTTGTTGTACCAGGTCTTCTGTTATTAGCTACTAATTTTCTACGATTTAATAAACCTAATTAAAAAGAGAAAAAAAATATTGTAAGCACAAAAAGATAAAGAAATTAAGATAATGACAGTGCATATATATGCTAAAGAAGTAATTGCACGTCTTATTTACCTAAACCACGTGGCTGCTCTGATGTCACTTCAACTGCTTGCGTTGTTTCTTCTTCTTTTAACTCATTTACACTCTCACTCACATCTTTTGCACCTTCTTTGGTTGCATTATCACTTTCATTCTCGTCATCTTCATCAACAGCAGCTTCTACATGTCATAGAAATAAAGAAAAGATGACAGAAAAAAATGACATGTTAACAGTCGAAAGGATAATTCACTTTTTCATTATAATTTGTCTGTGTGATGACTAAATTATAAGAGGAGTAGCTGCGAAATAATGTAAATGAATGGAATTAAATAGATTTTGAACATACCAGTGGTTGATGTAACGCCAAACTTTCGCTTTGAGATTAATGGATTAACTTTTCTATTGATTACAGGCTGAGCCGTGGTTTTCTTGGCTTTCGACTCGGTATTAATTTGAATGCGTGGCCGACTCTTTAATTTATTCAAATTATTTTGAGTTGTTGACTCTGCATCACTTTCATTTTCATTTGCTGATTTATTGTCATCATTATTTTCGACATTTGAATTCACACGGCTTCTATTTAGCGGTGATGGACGACTTCTTTGACCTGATGTTGGTGCGATACGGTTACCAGAACGATTAATATTAAGACGAGATGTAGGTCGTGGAACAATAGGTGCCGATGATGACGTTTTTTCTTCTTTTTCTTGCTCATTTTCAGCAACAGCTGTTTCGGTATTTGACTGAGACGGCGTTTCAGTTGACGACGATGATGCTCCACTCCTACTGCGATTTCTGAGGCTGAATTGTGGTCGTGGTTTAACTAAACGAGACGCTGTTGTGGTTTCAACTTCAGTATTTACTGCCGCCTTTTCTGTACTCAATGGTGATGATGGTGCATTATTACGTAAGTTGAAACGATTTCTTGCTCCACCACTTCTAAATTTATTTGCTGGTGCTGCTTGTTGCTGTGGTTCTTCAGATTTTTCAACATTTTCTTCGACAGGTGCAGCTGTGGTTTTTGTAGTACGTCCTCCACTACTTCTTCCTCCTGTAAATGTTGGTTTATTGAAACGACTTTTAACTCCTTTGGTGGCTTCTGTTGATTCTGGCACTGCCGTTGTAGTAGACAAGGATCCTGTACGTCCTTGGAATTTAAAACGATTTGCATTTCTACCGGCACTCAATGCTCCACGCCTTGTTGCCTCTGTTACTTCTTCTGTTGTAGTTGTTATCTTTTCAGTCGTTGTTTTTTCAGTAGTTGCCTCTGTTGTCGTTGTAGTGACTGCTACAGTTGTAGATGGATTTGAGTCTTCATCAGAATCATCAACAGTTGTCAAGTCTTCGATTTCAATCGTTGTAACTTCAAAATCAGCGGAAACAATTTTTTTCTCATCTTCATTTGCATTTTCATTAGCAATATGTGCATACAAGTCGAATGTTGCTTTTTCCATTGATGGTGTTGTATCTTCTTCTTCAATATCGTTTGTTGGTGACTCAACTGTACTTGATGCATATTCAATTGAAGTTTTGGAAACAGTTTCAAGTAATTCTGACTTTGAGAGCTCAGTTTCTATAATTCTTGGCCCCTTTTGTGAATTTTTATCTTTCTCATCTGTTTTAAAGAGATAACTGTCAACAAGTTCAAGACTTGGTCGTTTTGGATGATGCTTTTTACCCGATTCTTGTGCAGGATTTTCAACTGGTGCTGGATTTGCAGATTTGCCACGTTGTGGGAAACGTGTTGCAGGCGGAAGACGATCGTCAGTCTTGAATTAAATAATAATAATAATAATAATAGTAAAGAGCCAAACAAAATGCATTTGTGAAAATTATTTTCGTCACGTATTTAAATAAAATTTAAATTTTTATAAGGAAACTTACAATTTCTTCCACAACAGGTGCTGGTGAAGCTTGATGAGCACGTCCTTTGCCACGTGACTGAATTTCATTACGCTCTCCATTTGATGATGATGAACCACGTTCAATCGATGCATAACTGACTTTTCCAGCACTTACTGACTCAGGTGCTTTTGTTGTTGTTGTGGTTGTTGTTGTTGATGATGATGAAGGAGATTTTCGGTTTGATACAATGACATCGCTGTCTTCTGGATTTTTCTCATCATCATCATAATAGTAATAAACATACTCGTATTCATAATCTTGTCCATTTGGACCCTTCTTTATTTGAATACGTGACTGTTGCTTATTTTCACTTCCTGCTTCCTCAAGAATAGAGAAATCATCGATTAAGCCTTCATTTATGCTTTGTGCAATACCCTCTTCTGTTGTAGCTAGTACTGGCTTTTCTGTCGTGAGCGGTTCAATCACATACTTTTCATATTCACTTAATCTCTTTGCTTCAATGTTGCTCTTGATATCAGCAGCAATAAGCTCACCAAGTTGATCGTCAAGCTCTGGCTTCTCCTTTGATTTCATTGATTGGAACAAGTCTTCACGTCTTTGTAAGGCGTCGGGTGAAATCTTGTGAGATGTTTGGAACTCATTATGATATGGTGACTTGTGTGATGTCTCAAATGGAATACCTTTATGGTGAAAAATTCGTTATAATTGCTGTGAACATTAAAAATGCATTATTAATGCAAAATTTATTTACCTGCTACATCAATGCTGCTACTGACATCATCTGAAACTAACTGTACAAGAAAAAATGAAAAAATAAATATGAATATGGAGGAAGGAGTTGGTAGGGAGACATTTATATCGTATATACAAGTATTTCGAGTTTAGAATAGAGCTATAATGTAATAAAAGGAAAGTACAATGTATGTGTATAGAACCATAGAGAAATAAGATAAACAAAATGTTTACAGTACATCATTAGCATAATCCAATTCGAGTAAGTGCTTGTTGTTTGAGACATACAAACTCATATGTAAGATTACTGTTATTATTGCCTTTATCTATTCACTTTAATGCTCATAGAATAAACATAATATTAGAACCATATACAAGCATTTAGTGATGAAACAGCTTCATGTAATATTGGTGATGTCTTTACTAAGAATTTGATGTATTATATTTATGATAAATGAAAACCATTTAAAGCATAAAGAAAGTTCATTCTTAATTGTATCATTATGTCTTTTAAGTGATGACACAATAATAATCGATTTACGAGAATCAGCACGTCATGATATTTAATGTTCTTTATACATATTACATTAAATGTTTTTCACTTTCATATGACAATTATTTTGTAAATTCATAAATTACGAATTTCTAAGAAATTTTATTTTTGTAAATCAAGAAATAAATGAATAAGATTATTAAGAATACATGAAGATTAATATTGCAAACTGTTGCAAACAATGTAATTTTAGTATCACAAAATATTTCAGTAGCAATGAAAGTTTACTGAATACAGCCAGATATAATATCATAAAAATCAACATTTAATTCCAATAAAATTGAACTGCATGTTAATTTCAAACAACACAACCACAAGCAATAAGCTTCCGTATGTTCATGGTGGAATTTGTTCAATAGACTGCATATATGCGTTTTTAGTGACAAGAATATTGAATGTGAGCTTTCTCAACTTTAATTTTGTGTACGGAGCTGGGTGAAACATCTCTACTGCCAAATTTTTGGCCTTAACACAAATTTTAACAAAATTAATAGGTTTTAAAATACAAACAGATGCTAAAAATAACCACGTCACGAATTAAAGAGTTTAATGAAACACTTAAGCATTGAATAGATTAAATAATTTGAAATATTCTTAAATATGGCATGTTTCATTGACACTCCCCGAGTGAAATGAGGTAACAAGAGAAAATTACAATTTTAAATTAATAATATTTTAACAATGAGCAGTAAGGTGTGCCATAAAGGCACTTTTCAAGGAATAAAACAGTATTTCTCAAACTTTTTTGACATAACTCTAGTTTGATAATATTAATGAGATAAGTGTGACAGCTTTATAAGGAAATAAAGTAAAAAAATCAAATATTAGGATTCTTCATAAAAAATATACAATAATAAAAAAAAAAAACTTGCAAAAGACCATGGAGTGACTAGAGTGAGAACCACTGTATTGAGAAATGTTTTAAAAAAATTTCTTAGTCATATTCGCACGTTATTTATTAAATAATAATTTAAGGTAGATACATTGTTACTTGTAGCTTGATTACGGCATGCTATATGCATACATGCCCGCGAAATGTCGAATACTAGGAACATTGACATTAACGTTACTCAACAAATATGCAATGTTTAAAAATGTCAAACAAACAAACCTCTACTGTTGATTGCTGCTGTGACTTTTTTGGTATGTCGATAATATCATTTGTTGCTGCGATAGTTACACAAAGAAAAGAGCAAATAAATCTGAAAATAAATTAAAATGAATTATTAAAATGCTAGAGAATAATTAAATTAAATAAGTAGTTTTGTGATGTGAGTATGCGTAAAATCAAACTTCCAACATTTTTTAATCATTAATGTTTGCCCTTGAACTATTGCATTTATTTCTTGTTCCATCTGTTTCACGCTGTTACCATTTTTATGTTCGATGTCTAAATCGAATAACTGTTACTAACGTGGAAACGAAACAAGTTTTTGAAAAAAAAATATAGAATTAAAATCTTGAAATCAGCATTCTTTTAGCGCCAATAAATTATCTAAATTATATCTCTCTTATAGATTGGTAACAGTCGGCATATGGATTTCCACATAGAGATAAAAATATAATATTGCATAACTTTTTTGCTACATGCTTGTGGATTTCAATTCTCAAAAATATGTATATGAATAAATTTCATTACGAATAAAGATTTAAATTTTTCCGAATGCTTACTTAACACATGCAGGACATTAAAATATTTATTTTAAATGATCATGACTTTACGAATGAAATGAAAAATAAATAAAATAAAAATGTAAAAAGTATCATTTCGTTTTCACTTTCGTCATTGTTTGAATTTTTTGTTAAATTTTTTTTGTGTTTTCTTCTTGGCAACAATATTAAGTGCATTTATTTTATTCAAAAAATGCAACAAAAAGTTTAAATAAATTTATGCTGATACGTCCGGCTTGAACATCAAAATGTCATTTATATTAATTTTATTTCAGTCTTTTCGTCTCGAATGTATGCGTATTATGCCGAATGCATTTTTGTGATTTATATATTTTAAAAAAAATAAAATCACTTCTTCTTCAAGTGCAACAACTCTGATGACGACGAAAGTGAAATTATTTCATTGACATAACAACAATGCTTATGAAGAGAAAAAAATAGCTTGAATGCTCACAGATGCGGCGCTTAAGATATAAGCCATTGATTTGATTACTTCGAAATGAAATTTTTTATGATTCAACACACTTAATATAATTTTTATTGTTTGTGTGTCAATTTTCTACATCGCTTCTTTAATTTCTTTGCAATATAGTAATGTTAGTCTTCATTTTTACTCTATCGATATATTTTTTTAAGACTGAATTCATTACTTTCTAATGTCAAAAGAAAAGAAAAAACAAAATTCTTTTTTTTATTTACAATCAAAGCAGATATTGAAATAATTAGTCTGGAAACAGGAAATCACAACTAAATCAACCGGTAGAATACAAGAAAGCAAAAAATGCATGAGTTAAATTATGGGTGGCATAACAGATAGACGTGCCAAGAAAATTAATGGGAAACAATTTTCATGACCAAAAATTTCGATAAATTGAAAGAAATTTTCAGGGTTGATAAATTAGAATAATTTTCTATGCAAATGGATGAAAGTATCTTAAAATGAGAGTTTGAAAGCAAAATTGAGCTATATTCATACAATCAGAACAAATTTTGTATTTACAAAGTTTAATAACCTTTGTACAAAGATAATAAATAATTTGTATTAAATAAAAAAGATAAATCATTTACAAATGCTATGGATTTATATTACGAATGTTGGCGAAGCAATTTAAGAATTTATTCCGATAAAATCTTGCGTATATTTCATTCTAATGCTATGCAAGACATTTCAATTTACTTTCCTTATTATATAAATTTTAAATACATTTTACATACAAGGTCTTATTGAACGTTTCATAAATATTGTCAGTTCCGTATAAAAACTTGTTTAAGGTCGGACTTTTTTTCTACTGTCCAAAAATGACAGATAATTATATAACAATCAAGTTAATCAAGTCACGAAAAGAGTATATTGTAGCTATATGATGAGTAAAATTCATATCCATAATGTCGCGTTTGTATTTCCACAAAAGATATTTAAAGGTTAAGGACAAAAAAAGAAATGTTTTGTTTAACAGTTTTCAAATAAAATTTGTTCAGCTTTACTCAGCTTAACTTTTAACAAAAATTACCGCGATTATGACTGCATTTTAAATTTTTTGTTTCTTTTTGTATTTTTTCAATTATTATATTTTTTCATGTTTCTTTTTTGATCATTCCGTCACTGAGAGGGAATCAAATTACATTCATTCATCATATTTGAAAACCGAATGAACCATAATTACTTTTGATGTTTTCACTTTCTTTGGTCTTTAAGTCAAATTTTTTGCGAGACGTATATTTTAAAAAATGACTTAGACAATTATGGATTTATTGAATAACTTCCTACATTTCATGTCGAAAAGATCATTTCGAATTCAAGATATCCAACCCAAAAAATACTTTAATTTCCAATTTACTTTTGCAATCTAGAAAAATCTATGACTGTCATAGATATTTCAGTCGTACAAAGAAATTTCATAAGTCTTTATCAAAGCATAAAAAAATCGTAGCGCATAAGACTCGATTTAAAAAAATCTTTAAAAAGAACAAATGATTTAAAAATACAGTTTAATTAAAAGGAATGAACACCTATTTAACCAAACTCATCTTGCGTTAGTCATCAGGTAAATGTTGGTTCCGCCAATGATATTTATTGGTATTTCGTATGAACAAAATTTTATCTTAATGAGACTCTATAATTATTAATTTAAAGAGCTAATATGCATTTTAATCCAATAAAAGGTATAAGTAGTTCAATGACAGCTTAAGAAGTGTTATTGAAAAGTTGTTACCCTTTAGCTCACTCACGTTGGATGTTGTTTTTTGTTAATTTGCTGCAAAATCATTCACCTTGAAATTTGTGTTCGCAGAAATTTTAATTGAAAATTTTCTACTGTAAAGCAACAAAATTCGAGCAGCAAAATTCAAAAATTGTGAAATGGAAGGAGAAAGAAATTGAATGGTAATTGATAAGTCGAAAAGAGAAAAAGAAGATGAGCACGATAAAAAGCAAGCAGAGAAGAAAGAGCAGCGTCATTAATTTAATTAATGGAAAAATTGTTAGCATGAAATTGCACCTAAAATACCTTTGAATATTTTCTTAAGGTAGCAAGAAGCTCAAATGTGTAATTTTGTGTCACAGCATGCTTCCATCACTTTTATTTAAGAGATTTATGAATGAAAAAAAAAATTTAAATTTTAAGCATTCTCTTAAATTACGTCAAGTAGAAAAACTTGAAACAGCAACATTTGAAGCACATTTCACAACATTTTCTCAGTTTTCTATGCTCGTTTATTTGTAAAGAGTTGAAGTTTATTTCATAAATATTCATTCACCTTTAACAATTTACCAAAAAGTAAATTATTATGCAGAAATTTGTTTTCGTCATGAGAAAAGAACATTTCAAAATGGAATTACCGCAACTGTGATTTCATGTTTCAGCCACAATAGTACATAAGCATCTACAAAATTCAGACTTACATAAATCGCATTTGGTGATGCATCATTGAACTTATTTGCAATGTTATTATATGCAAAATTGTAAGGTTTGTTTAGACAATAAATCGAGCAACACTTGCACTTTGTCTCGTGTTTATATCCAGTTTCAATTTATTTGAATATTTTTTTCTTGACTTGATTGCAAAACACTTTCACTTTTAGCTCTTTTTTTTCTTCTACCTTATGCATATATTATAAAACCAATACTGTATTTATTAATATCAATTTTAAATAAAAAATCATTAACTTTATTATTTCACTTCCACAGTTAATGCTTAAACATATTTATATTTCTTTTCTTTGTAGATATTTTTTAACTGTGCGGGAGTTTTAATTTTTTTGCAAAAATAAACTTTTTATTAATTTTGTAGCCGTGCGCGCACCAATCTTCACAGGCAAAGCATTGATCCAAGACTAAATAACGAGTTAATATGACACGATGAATTTACTAAAAAAAGAATTTAAAAAAATTAAATTCAAAAAAGGTTACGAAAACTTTTTTATTTTTTTATTTCTCTCCGTTTTCGTACACCTCCGAAATGAAAATAAAAGTTTGCTGTGCTGCAAAGCATGCAGACTGCTTTACGTTTTTTTTTCTTCATTTCACATTAATGTTGAGGCAAGTAAGATTGCGTCTTTGGTAGTATATTGCTCTTTCAATGTTGTTAAATGTCTACACAGAGGCGCTTATCTTGCGTCTTTAAGGAATAGAAAGAGAACAAAACAAACTGAATATACACAATACACAGTTATATTAGCACTCCTTTCACTTTGTAACATAAAAAGTGCATGATAAACACACTAAATTGTGAGCTTTAGTGGGGCTTAACTATACATATTCAACTTTTTTATTTGTATTTCCACAGTATCGATATGCGTCATCATTGCAACCCCACCAATGTGTTTCTTTTTCAATTATTTGGCATTTAGTACTATAAATTTTTGTCTAATTTCTTGCATTTCATTTAAAATTAATTTTAATATCAAACTTTATTTTTCGACTTTAAGATGTTTTATTAAATTATAAAGTACGAATAAAAATCATATTATGTATATGTGTATTAAAGATAAGAATGCTTCATGCTTAATTTTGTTATTTTAATCAAAATATCTGATTGCTGCATAATATAATTCTAATGAAAGCAATAAAAGCAGTCAATTACAAATCATCTGACTTGTCTATTTAACTATTTTAACTGTAGTATCACTGAGTATTAATGGAAATGCCACTATAGCCCTAGACGTCTTGCAAGAAGCTTAAAATTCTAAATAAATATGTTAATATCCTAAAACATAGGTATGCAACATCTCATTTATGTAAATGATTTCATGCACTAGTTCATGCTTTAGCTAAAACATTGCAAACATTTTATTTTCTTTAAACAATGATTAATTTCACAAATTTTTTGAGAACAAAAAATTCAAGAAATGACGTACTTCACTCAACATGCTCGATTAATTGTTTCAAAGTTTTTAAGTGTCAAAAATTAAACTGATGAAATTATATCGAGACTTTTCATTGAATATAAATTTATAGGTAGCACAGTAATTCCGAAATAAAACAGAGAATTCATAAAATAAATAAACAATTACAGCATCTGTGCCAAATTCAAGTATTTATTATATAAAAAAGCAAAATTAATAACTAGTTTAAGAGTTAAGAAAATTTTATTTGTAGTGACATTGAAATGTAAAAGTATCACATAATTCCTATTTCCACATTCCAACAACATTTAATGCTGTATCTATTGATTTAAACAGAAAGAGTATGAACACTTCGTTTGACACCTTTTCATTCTATTTGAATCATGTAAAAAAGTTATGAATCATATATGTCTGGGCACTAGATAAACCAGGAGAATGGATAATAAATTACGAATCTAAATGACGTAATTTCAATTTCTATAGTCATTAGTTGCTTTTCACTGTCATTTTGAAAGAAAAATATTGAGAAAATGTTTGAATAATTTTTTTGGTATTGTGAAAAGCTAGTGTCATTTCTTCAATGATTTTGTCAATGTGCTAAAAGTTGTTTCAATTATGAAAAATAAAGTATATAAATTTCAAAATTTATATACGCATCATCAATCTAAATTAAAAGTAACAATGAGTTAAGATTTAAGGATCAGCTTTTCAACTTTTTTATTCAGTTGATAATCAATTTAATTTAATTCAATAACTATATCGTGTTAAGTAGTCGTGATATAATTGCTACGAAATCTCCATTATAACTATAAAACTTGCTGGTTGGGTTCCATTTTTTTTTTTGCAAAAGGTATGAACTTTTAAACATGCATTGAATTGTGAATAGAAACAAAAAAAAATGAGAAATGTGGTAAAAACTAGACAGCAGAAATTAACATTTAAGCATATTTTGAATGTATGCATTTGCAGAAAGTTGTTGTTCTTGTAACTTTTGATATTTTATTTATTCATAAAAACTACAATAAAAAAATTATTGAGCAACAAAATGATCTTTAAGAAATTACCTTCACTCAAGATTTCTTCGTACATGATCTTTCAAAATCCACATCATACCGTAATGATTTTTTGTTTCTTTTCATTAAAAAAATTTCTGACAATCCTGTCAAAAAACATTTAATTAGTCTCGATTAATGCCATTGTGTGTATTGAATTGGATATAAGAAAATGTCCAACCCTGATTTACTAAACTATTAGTCATTAGTAAGTAATACAAGATTCTTCTAAAATTAGTAATAAATTTCCTGGTTGTGAGTAAAAAACCTGATTAATTCATGTCGATTAAAGCAAAATGCTTTAGTCAGAAGGTTTCTCAAGAAAGTGAGTCTGCAACAAAATTTGCATATTTACTCAGTCAGTAATCCCCTTCGTATGCATTTGGTTTTGTTAACCTTGCAAAAATTATATACATATGTAGCAAATGTCTTTTGATAAAGTGATTTAGAGAAGAAATTGAAAATTTATTCACATGCTATGAACATTGACATTTATATTAAGTCAAGGTATCTATAATTTTTTTTTCATAATTTAAATCTTTGCAAAATTACTAGTTTATCTTTTTTTTAAAAATATTGTTTCTAAAATAACTAAACTTGTCTTGAAAACATCAAAAACGCGTTGTTGAAAATTTTTTCTTTCATCGATTAGCAACGTGATGAACTTTTTGCATATAGAAAAGTAAAATAAACTGCATCATTTACATTCTTGGATATTTATTAAATCGTCTATTCCGAAAATGCTAAAAAAATCTTAAGCGCTATAGCATTTTTGCAAAAAAAAATAATGATTATTTATTATCTTAATAAATACGATAAATACTAGATATTAATAGATATTTTAATATTCAAAACAATTTAAAAAATCACGACTTACCTAGAAAGCCACGAACTTCCATGCATGGCCAACAGTTAAAATATTGAAAGATCACAGAATTTGTCGAATCTTGCCCAATATAAAACTTGGTTTAATTCTTGATTGTTTGAATAATAACTACGCAAACATAGTATATTAGACATATAATTTTTGGATTCGATGGGATATCTCAATTTTAATGCATTCATTCTCAAGAATTTTTTCTTTATTTTTGATATTCGGGATATTTGAGATAGTTTTCACGACTTGTTTCAATTTGTGCGAATGATACTTTTGATAGAATCTAGAATCTAGTCTAAATTTTAAATTAAGGAGTCAAGACTGTGTCATTCGATTTTTGAAAAGTTTCTTTTAATTATTAGGAATATTAATCAGAACTCTTTGAGAAACTTTTACCTAAGTCTCTGAGTTGAACAATAAAGTTTAACTATGTTGACATACTTTGAAATTTTTGAATACGAGTCGTTCATACTGTAATAAAAAAGTGTGTTCTTACTGAAGCTAATAACTTACACGCTTTGTGCGTGGAAGTTAATTAAGAAATTTTATCTTACGTAATTTTCTTAATCTATCTAAGCACAGAAGAGTTTAAAGAATTAAGTTTAAAAAAATGATGATTTCATCTGCTGCCGTCCTTGGAATTTTTGTAAATCACCTTAGTAAAACTAGTGTAGAAGAGTGGGCGTGAAGTACGGCCGAGACCCATATCGACACTGTTCAAAAGTTATACCTAATTTATGTCATAATTATGTCAGCTACAAAAACACTTAGTTTGAATTTCGTCACCCTTGGGAACAATATGAACCAGTACACTTACTTTACACTTATTTGAACCACATTTTCTCGTAAATATTAAAATATTATTAAAACGGAATTAATCCTGAATTATATCGCTATTTTGTCAAGTGTTTTAAGATAAAGAATTTTTTTTTGGTTTCCACAGTGAAGAGTATGGACAAAAATCATATGGGGTAGTCGAAATTTTAGATTTCGATTTTTTTTAAGCTATGCATTACAAAAAGTAATATTGGTATGTGATTTATGTCAGAAATATGTAAATTCAAATGAAACATACAAAAAATTTGTTTGACCAAAGTACACCATAGAAAATCAATTTTCAATTTTGGACTAGGGGCGACCCTAGTCAAAATCAATTTTGTCACTTTTTTCGTCGAGGGTTTATCCAAATGGATTGAAACTTTGCATAAATATTCTAGTGCTTAAAACAAATACAAATAAAACATCCTAAAATTTTTTTGAGCAAAGAACCAAGTAGGAAATACATTTTCAATTTTGGACTAGGGGCGACCCTAGTCAAAATCAATTTTGTCACTTTTTTCTTGGAGGGTTTATACAAATGGATTGAAACTTTGCATAAATTTTCAAGTGCTTAAAACAAATGCAAATAAAACATCTTAAAATTTTTTTGAGCAAAGAATCAAGTAGGAAATACATTTTCAATTTTGGACTAGGGGCGACCCTAGTCAAAAACAATTTTGTCACTTTTTTCTTCGAGGGTTTATCCAAATGGATTGAAACTTTGCATAAATATTCTAATGCTTAAAACAAATACAAATAAAACATCTTAAAATTTTTTTGAGCAAAGAACTAAGAAGGAAATACAATTTCAATTTTGGACTAGGGGCGACCCTAGTCAAAATCAATTTTGTCACTTTTTTCTTCGAGGGTTTATCCAAATGAATTGAAACTTTGCATAAATATTCTAGTGCTTATAACAAATACA